TGACAAAGATTTGAAGAGCAGATCTGTTTCTCTGACAATTCTCAGCAGTGCTAACAGGACTAGATTGCTTTCTAGCTAGCCAGGGGCCTTAAAGAACCAGACCTTTAGGTTACAAACAGTTTACCAGAAACTGACCAATTTAAGAATGCTTTTGTCTCTCAAGCAGATTAAAGAGATTTGTTTGATTTCACATAAGTACACTACAGATATCAAAGCTTGATTTTTTTTGAAACCCTTATAACAAAGTCATTTTTCCAAATAAAGTTTCCTAAGATTTCTCTCACATCTCCTATCCCTTTTTACTTTCCCTTTTCTTACATAATTCTGTTTAACTCCTAATCTTTACAACCTTAATTTTCTAATTTCTAGATTGTAAGCAATTGTAAAATATATACCTATTGTCCCTTTAAATTGTAAGTCTGACAAATAACTTTTTGTAATTTCTAAAACACATACTTCAATTTTTCTACGTGATGTAAAGGCATTTTACTCATAGACACTAATTTTTTTTCAATTTTCTAGCTAAGTGAGTATTTTTTTTCTTTTTATCCTTTTTTATATATATTTTACATCATTCTTCATTTTTGTACAATGTATGCTTTCTTCTCTCAGGTTTAGTCCCCATGAAATTCCCACCACCAATTCACCTGTGTACCATCACAATAGTCCCTTGTGCTCTTCCCACCTGTTTGTTTTTTTTTTTAAGATTTATTTATTTATGCATAAAAGAACTGAGGTACAGGCCAGAGGTGTGTGGGGTGAGAGGATTCACCAGAGACAGAGTGGGGAGCAGAACAGGCAGATTGACCGATAAACACTGCTGAGGGAAGCAGTGGGCGAGTCAGGAGAAGTCTGCTGCGCCATGTGGGTTGCTCCCTGGCTGGGGATCGAATTTGTGCTGCAGTGGCTGCAGGCAGCTTCAAAGGTACATCTTAACACCTTGCGCCACAAGGGAGCCCCACCATAAAGGTTTTTTTTTTTAACTTAAGTTACAATTTTTTTTTCTTCTTATATATGATCTCTTATTTTTGCTATTGAATTTTTTTATTTTTTATTTTATTCTATATATTTTGTCTAGCATTTTTCATTTTTGCACAATGCATGCATTCTCATCTTGGTTATAGTCCCCATACAATTCCCACCCCTCCTTGTTTTGATCCTACTCCCTTCTTCCCCCACTGTAGTGTGTCTCTAGTTTATAGTTGCTTGTTGATTTTGATTTTTACTTTAGCATAATTAGTCTTTTTCCTGGTCCCTTATTTAGGTTTTCTAAATTCTTGCTATGAGTGAGACCATCTGGTATTTTTCTTTTTCTTTCTGGCTTATTTCACTGAGCATGATCCCTTCCAGCTCCATCCATGTTGTTGCAAATGGCATGAGTTTATCTTTTTTGATTACTGAGTAATTGTGTATATACCATTGTGTATATACCATATCTTCTTGATCCAGTCATCTATTTTGGGCATTTGGTTGTTTCCATAGCTTAGCTATTGTAAATAGTGCTGCTATAAACATAGGGGTGCAGGTGCCCTTTTGAACTAATGTTTCTGTGTCCTTTGGGTAAAAATCTAGGAGTGGAATTGCTGGATCATATGGAAGCTCCATCTTTAGTAGACTGAGGAATCTCCACACACCTCTCCATAGTGGTTGGACCAGTTTGCACTCCCACCAGGAGTGCAGGAGAGTTCCCTTTTCTCCCCATCCTTGCCCACATTTGTTATTGCTAGTTTTTTTAATATGTGCCATTCTTAAAATGGTATCTCCTTGTAGTTTTGATTTGCATTTCCCTGTTTACAAGTGATGTTGAACATTTTTTCATATGCCTGTTGACCATTTGCATTTCCTCTTTGGAGAAGTTCCTTTTTAGCTCTTCTGCCCGTTTTTTGACTGGGTTATTTACTTTGTTTTTGTTGAGTCTCCTCAGCCCTTTGTAGATTTTTGTGATCAGTCCTTTATCATTAGTGTTGTGTGCAAAAATTTTCTCCCACTCAGTGGGGTGTCTCTTTGTTTTGGTTACTGTCTCTTTTGCTGTACAGAAACTCTTTAATTTGATGTAGTCCCAGCTGTTTATCTTTGCCTTCACTCTCACTTTGGGTGATATGTCTTAAAGATGTTACTGAGGTATATGTCATAAAGTGTTTCGCCTATATTTCCTTCTATATATTTTATGGTTTCAGGTCTTATGTCTAGTTCTTTAATCCATTTTGAGTTGGTTTTTGTGCATGATGTGAGGTAGTGGTCAAGCTTCATTCTTTTGCATGTAGCAACCCAGTTTTCCCAGCACCATTTATTGAACAAACTTTCTTTGCTCCATTGCATATTCTTTGCTCCTTTGTCAATGATTAGTTGACTGTAAATCTGTGGGTTTATTTCTGGATTTTCTATTCGGTTCCATTGGTCCGTGTGTCTGTTCTTGTTCCAGTACTGTGCAGTTTTGATGATTATGGCTTTGTAGTATAGTTTGAAGTCTGAGAGTGTGATGCCTCCATTCCCTTCTCTTTTTTTCAGGGGAGCTTTGGCTATTTGGGGTTTTTGGTGGCTCCATATGAATTTCATCAATAATTGTTCTATTTCTTTGAAGAATGTCATTGAAATTTTTATTGGAATAGCATTGAATCTGTAAATTGCTTTTGGTAGGCTGGCCATTTTGATAATGTTAATTCTTCCAACTCATGAGCAGGGGATGTCTTTCCATTTCTTTGAACAGTGTTTTATAGTTTTCTTTGTATAGGTCCTTTACCTCTTTTGTTAGGTTTATTCCCAAGTATTTGATTTTTTTGTTTCAATAATAAAAGGGATGGTATTCTTGATGATTTCTTCTTCAGATGTATTGTTTGTATATAGGAAGGCTACTGACTTGTATGTTGATTTTGTATCCTGCTACTTTACTAAACTGATTGGTTTGATTAATTTTTCTATGGGGTTTTGGGGTTCTCTATGTATATTATCATCTGCAAATAGTGATAGTTTGACTTCTTCCTTCCCTGTTTGGATTCCTTGTATGTCTTTCTCTTGTCTTATTGCTCTGGCTTTGACTTCCAGTATTATATTGAAAGGCAGTGGTGAGAGTGGACATCCTTCTCTTGTTCCAGGTCTTTCAATGGAAATGCTTTCAACTTTTCACCATTGAGAATGATATTGGCTATGGACTTGTCATATATGGCCTTTAACATGTTGAGGTATGTTCCTTGTATCCCGAGAATTTCAAGGGCCTTCATTATAAATGGGTGTTGTACTTTGTTGAAAGCTTTCTCAGCATCTATTGATATTATCATATGGTTTTTATATTTCTTTTTGTTGATGTGTTGGATTACATTGATTGATATTCAGATGTTGAACCATCCTTGTGTCCCTGGAATAAATCCTACTTGATCGTGGTGAATTATCTTCTGGATACATTGTTGGATTCTGTTAGCTAAAATTTTATTGAGGATTTTTGCATTAGTGTTCATTGGAGAGATCGGCCTGTAGTTTTCTTTTTTTGTGTTGTCCTTGTTCGGTTTCGGTATTAGTGCAAGGTTGGCTTCATAGAACGTGTTTGGTATTATCCCTTCCTTCTCAATTTTTTGAAAGAGTTTGTGAAGGATAGGCACTAGTTCGTTTCTGAATGTTTGTTAGAATTCATTTATAAATCCATCTAGTCCTGGGCTTTTGTTTTTGGGAAGAATTTTGATGACCAATTCAATTTCACTGTTTGTAATTGGGCTCTTTAGGTGTTCTGTTTCTTCTTTATCCAGCTTTGGGTGATTGTAAAGTTGTAGGAATTTGTCCATCTCTTCTAGATTGTTGAGCTTGTTTGCATATAACTGTTCATAGTAGTTTCTGATTGTTCTTTTGATCTGCTGTGTCTGTTGTGATTTCTCTTTCATATATGATCCTATTTATCTGTGCTTTCTCCCGTTTTTCCTTTGTGAGTCTGGATAGGGGTTTGTCTATTTTATTTATTTTTTTGGAGAACCAGCTTTTGGTTTCATTGATCTTCTGGATTGTTTTTTTAGTTTCTATTTCATTTATTTTTGCTTTGATTTTTATTATTTCCTTTCTTCTGCTGGTTTTAGTGTTTTTGTTGTTCTTTTTCTAGTTCTTTGAGATGTTTGATTAGGTTGTTTGAGTTCTTTCTTGTTTCTTGATGTGAGCCTGTATTGCTACATATATATGTTGGTTGCCATTGATCACCCACTATACATGAACTCATGAAGTCAGTTGCCATTGATTGCTAACTTACATATTGAACATGTAGAATAGTTTCCTGTGTTGGTGCTTTGGGAATCACTTCAAATATAGCCTGGTTTGTAAGTCATTTACCTGAGGGAGTAGTTTAAAATTTAACAATGTCTACTAACTTTTTTATTGGAAACCCTATAAACCTCTTACAGTAAGAGTCAAAGTGACTACTTGTTAATTATGAAGGTTTTGCTAATACATTTTTCTTCTAAGTACAAGTTTTCCTGATTGGCTGTTTTAAATGTGTTCCCTTCAATGGAAATTCTCATTTGAAATTCTTAACATGTGTTGGCTTGCTTTAGTCAATGTATAGACCTTGGCTGACTGTTATATATAAGGATATAGGATAGGAAAACTTTCTATGAAAAATCAGATTAGCTTGGCATATGTATGTATGTATGTTGAAAAAGTAACCCTTTGAGAAGGTACACAAAAATCTAAATTGGGTCTATAAATGCACTACAAGCAGTGTTGGTAATGCTTTCACAACAGTCTCGTGAATGGACTCACAGGCAGAGTAATTTGTGCATATTTCATTTTGAAAACCATGTATTATATCCCTGTATGCCTGTATGTGGGGGGGGGGACTTACTATAACAGTATAATGTCACAAATATCCTTCTTTTGACAATTTTAGGTACATTACATTTTTCTGATTTTGATAGAAAATAGGAGAAATGGTAGGATCTCACAAAGGAAGCAGGAAAATACAGATACACATAGTTTACAAAGTTATTTAGTTCATCATGTAACAAATACTTGATTCTTTATCCTAGACCAGAAGATCAATTCAGAAGTTGTTAGAATGGGAAAACAACAGATTATATCACAAGGTAAGAAAGTTTAAGCATTTAAGTGCCCATTCATGTATTTGTATCATTAAATTTAAAAACTGGGAATTTTTCATGCCACAAAAGGACGAATTAGAGAACTAATACTCAATTTTTAATGTATATTTCTTATAGGTTATTTTTAAAAGCTGTGTTTTGTATTTGGCACTTGCTCCTGAATGTCTCTCAGTGATTTATTCAAATGTATAGGTAATAATTATTATAAATATCATAAGTCAGTATCAAAATTATTAACAAACTATCCTTTTTTAGCTTGCTTTGCACTGGAAGTTGACTAAAAGGAAATGCGAAACTAGCAATATGATGGAATATGTAAGTATGTGGTTGCTTTTAATAACATTTTTGGATTCCTCCTAAGTGTTACATTTTACTGTTATCATTTATCAGATCCTCTTTTTACCTTTTTTCTGCTCAGCCTGAACTTTTGTTAGTTGAAAAGTAGATGTTTCCTTACACCTTCTTTAGATTAGTAGCCAATATGAAATATCTTGAAAGCTAGCATTATTTTGATCTTAGAAAAGCTTCAACTAGTATGCTCTGATGAAAAAGCATTGTACAGCCTTAATCTTCTTTTAATGTAGCTGCAAACTACTACATATCTGAACACAGCTGCTGTTGAACAAAGTATTTCTACATGTAATTCTTATAAAAATGGAATTGACTTCTGAATTTTGAGTTTATACTTGACTTTTCTTTCTTAGCTGACATTTAACTTTTATAAAGAAACTATAGGTTCTAATTGCTTTTACTGAAAGCTATGCAATCTTAATCCTAAAACATTAACTTCACATATAGCCAATGTGATAAATCCTAACATTCAAAACAATGTAAAATGTATCCAAGCTTCAAGTTGCTGACATGTATTATATATTTAATATAAACATTCAGGTTCCATTTCATAAGTAAAGATTATTATGAATTCCTTCTCCACTTTAAATAGTTTTGGGGAAAATGTGCAAATGACCACAAATTTAAAATTAACTATAGACAAAACCTTATTTAAACTATTATCAATTAACTGGATCAAGAAGATGTGGTACATATACACAATGGAATATTACTCAGCAATCAAAAAGATAAACACGTGCAATTTGCAGCAACATGGATGGAGCTGGAAGGGATCGTGCTCAGCAAAATAAGCCAGAAAGAAAAAGAAAAATACCAGATGGCCTCACTCATAGTAGGAATCTAGAAAACCTAAATAAGGGACCAGGAAAAAAAATAACTATAAGAAAGGAAAAATCAAAATCAACAAACAACTATGAACCAGAGACACACTATGGGGGGGGCACGGAAAGGAGAGATTGGGGTGAAAATAAGGGGGTTGCAATTGTATGGGAATATAAAAATAAAAGTAAAAAATAAAATAAAATAAAAAATAAACTATTGTCATTTGTATTTTATATATTAAAGTATATAAAACTATAAACTATATGTATTAAACTTATATAAATTTATATATAAATGTCTTAGGTTTTTAATTTTATTTCAAATCTATCTTAATTAAAATGTTGTAATTCATTAGGACATTTTAGTATTTTTCTCAAAAACTTGTCAAAGATAGTAATACTTGGCCAATATCAGCTGCTTTGATTGAAAAATATATAGGTAAAGGTATTTTTTCTAATCTACATAACACAATTTTAATCCCTTTCACTCTGCTAAAAATAAAGGGAAAGAAGAAGGTTGAGAAGGGTAAGATAATGCAGTAGGGTTTGCTTTCCTGTACCTAAACAAATAGTTATGATAAATCAGGTAATAAAAGCTGTTAGCTGCCATACATAGTTATGTTTGCCAATTTAATTTGTCAATCTAAAGATAACTTGTGATATGTTCTTTTTATAATTGTATATACTTTACTAATTTATAGTACAGGATCAAAAAATAATCCTGTGAAAAATTATTATAGACTTTCTGGGTTATATATAAATTATAGTAAATAAAAATTGTCAATATATTCTTTATTTGTTTTTATTTTACAGGTAATATTAATAGAATTCTTACCAAAATATCCCATTTTCCGACCTGACTGAGGAATTTTATTCAGTCACTTCTGTTACCTGTCATTTCCTACCCTTAGTGCCTTGTAGATGATTTTGGAATGAAGATGGCCTCCTTTGCTGTGTTCAACTTATTCTTTATAATGGTAGAATGTTCTCCTCACTCTTTTATTTGTGTTTAGGAAGAAAATTTGTACATCTTTTTTTTGTTGTTGTTAAATGAGGCTTGTGTTTTGCACTCTCAATTTTTAAATACACACACTTACATGTATGTATGTATGTGTGTATATACATATGTGTGTATGTCTGTGTATACACATATATGTATATATATTTATATAGTTGCCACTAAAGATTAAACATCAGTGCTGGTGTTTAAAAAACAAAAACTTGTTCTGAGCATGCTGCCTTATAATTTTCATACTCACCGTTTCTAAATATGCATCATTTTTCTAGGCGACTTCATGCTCTGTAATCCCTACTGGACACGTAAATAAGCTTTTGGTAGGTTTTAGAAATGGTTTTACTCTTACCTGCTTTTAAAGGACATGCAATTAATAGCACTGTTTTTGTCCTGCACTTTGCTATGACTTATGTTAGTAGATAAAGTATTTAAACTCCTAAAGACTTGTAAATATTATCTGTTTGCATAATGTAAAATGTGATATGCCATGGTTTACAGAATGTAATATTACTCATACTGTATTGCCAAAATTCTGCATAGATTTTAATATGAATGAAGTTTGCAAGCATCCTTTTGAATGTATAGACTGTTAACATGCTGTTTATGGCAAAACCATAAGAAACATGTTAAAATTTTCAGGTGTGAGGGTAGGTTGCCCTTTGTAACAAGTGGATTAGAGTTGACGTCATTGTCTGAAATACTCTGCATTGCACCTGAAATCAAGAACCTTATTTTTTTCCATTTAATTCAAGAATTCCATTTTGTCCTCCACTCTCACCCTGAAAAGAATTCATCAGCTATCTGACACATTTCACAGTCTCACTATCCTCATTTATTTCCCTCTATATATCCTTTCCCCCTTTGGAAATACGCAATTATGACCTTTAAGGGGTATTTCAAGATTTTAGCTGTCTCTGGAGGTGTCTTAAACCCCCCCATGAAAGCCACAGCTAACACCTTTCTGGATGTTCTGATACTCTACTTTGGAAAAGAGAGAGAAGTAATTGAGAAACTGAACCTAAAGAATATATTTAGTGGCTGATTTACAATTGTTAAAATATTCACAATCCTCTTTTGAGGATTTTTTAAAATATTTGGATATTATTAATAAAGAAAGACAGATATTTAGACAAAATTATTTTACTTTATAAATTCACCACACATGGAGCCTTTTCATTGATATGTGCATATTTCTCTTCACAATTAAAATGAGTGAGAACACCGCAGACTAATTCTTCTAGATTTTGAAATTTTAACACAATGAAAGCTTTCTATGATGTTAATTCGATTGTAAATGTATACCTATATGCAGGCATTATTTGTAGTTCATAGTACTAAAAATAAAAGTGTCTGGGACTGAATGATATTTATTACCTTATTCTTATTGTTTTTAGCAAAGTTTTTTAAGCAAATATTCATGCCAGTGAAGAGAACAATAATTTCTTCATACAAGTTCAAGCCTTTTAAAGACTTTTAAAATTTACAACTAATTCGAAATTCACAGTCCTGGATCAGACAAAGAAGAGGGAAAAAAGAGAGTTTATTTGATAAGTGACTGTAATTGTTTGCACAAACACTTTTCCACCTCTCTCTGTAGAACCCTATTACCCACATGACACCCAGCCACCCAGAATCTCTAATTTTAAATATATTGTGTGTGCCTGCAAATATCATTTGTCTGCTGCAAAACTGAAGGTGTATTTTTCTAGACACGATAGAAATCTCTGAAAATGCGTATCAGATGTCTTGTTATATAGCTACTAGGGTCAGGGCAAATTGTATTTGTGGTTCCTGTTCCCGCTAATATCACCAGGTCTTTATGCTTCAAACTGTGACTGTTTAGTACCAAAATTGATTTCCAGCATAATACAAAATGTATCATTGTCACTGATAAAATAATTATTTCTATATGTCAACTATAAAATCTTTTTTTCTGTAAACATACAGTTTGGCCATAGGATGGCCATAGTAGCTTTTATGCTGTGTATAAATCACACTTGGTTTTGCTCAAGAACAGCAAAAAGTAGTCAGTTGTTTCCATGAAACAAATACTGAGACACAGGAATAGAGTGTATATGTTGGTTATAAAGTATAATTCAAGTTATGGTAGTATTTGTAATAAAAAACCATTTGCCAGCTTGTGTAAACTTCATTTTAAAACCTACTCTGATTACTCTTAAATTGATCATTTTAATGTTCATTGTGCTGGTTGACTCATCTTATTTTCTTGAACTACTCCGAAAATACCCAAATTTCTTATTTTCTTTCTTGTATGACTGCTTTTTCAAACTGTTTTCATTTGGACAGAGCTGTCGCAGTTGGGTATTTTGGAGTACTTTGGGGGGTTTGTTTTCTTTTCAAGGGAATTGGCAGTAGTGAATGCTAAAATGGCAGAGCACACTCTGGTCATTAATCTCTCCCACCTATCCTCAGGATAGAACACACTTGGATATTTTTATCAAGTTAGTAAAATAATTTTGTGACAGTTGTTTTTAGGCTGAAGAAAGTCATTTTTCATTTCTTTCTTATGTAGTATTCCTTTATGAAACCTGCTATGGCAGTTTGCAGAGAAAATAATGTGTATTAAGCCAAAGTATATAAATCTAACAAAGCTTTGAGGTCACAAGTTAAAGCTGCTCTTTCTCTAACTTTTTTTATACATCTCCACCCCCATTCCCCCTTTAAGTCCCTAAATTGTATATAAAATGAAATAATCTTTAATCTTTTCCAGCTACTTTTTGTTCCCTTCTTCCCCTCTGTTAATTTTAGGGAAAAAAATCATTGTAGTCGAACATTAGTAGTAGATGGAGAAGTGCCTTGTCTATTCTGAACAAAGATAACATTTTATGTTGAAGGAAGCAGAATAGGTGAATTAGTAGCTCATTAGATTTAAAACCTCCTTTTCTAAAGTGTAAAAATATTTCAATAGCATATTTCATTTCTTCTATTATTTCTATTGTTTCCTTATTTTCCTCCAATTATGTGATAATATTAATGACAAAATATTACAGAAAATATCAGTCACTTTAAAAAAACAGTATAATTCTAATGCTTGTAAACATGAGCTTTAGCATGGTTCTGAAAGAACAATTTGCTTTTGGTTGAAGCCCCACCAAAACCCACTTAAGTGCTTAATGTACTTGCTACTCATATTATGACCTATAAACACTAATGTCTGAGCAGTTAATTAAACTGTGTTAATATTTCATTTTTAATGAAATGTATTCTTGTTTTTTCATAATTTGAGTTAAGTTCCATAACATATATAAGCCCTTAAACAAATGTGTAAGAGCTTTAAAAAATCATTAGCATTTTATTTTGTTTACAAATAAACTTCCACTTAACAAAAAAATCAAACCTCACTGCTTGAACATAAAGCCCCAAAAAATATTTCGTCAAAATTGACTGTATTGATATAGAAGGATATGGAATTACTACACCAGGTTAATTGGAGCAGTTTCACATTGTGGAAGTACTTTTTGCTAAATTGATAATAAGATCAATTCATTGAAATTTAAGTCCTTTTATGCCTGCCTATAAAACTTTTTTAAAAATCTGTTTTGCAACAATTTTCAAACATTTCAGGTTCCTTTCAATGGTGAGCTATTGGAAACTTTTCCATAGAAAAGGAATAGGTTTTATTAATAATACCTGTTCATATGATACATGGACTAAAAGCAAGGAGATGTATATATACATATACACTACATAATATATGTATATTCTTGTCCCAAATTTCACATTCCTGATTCTGAGCCAGCCTTTTCATTTAGATGATGGCAACCTGAGGATATGCTCCATTTTCTGTGGATTTTTTCAGATTCATACTATGTGAGGAAATGATCTAATACTGTGGGCTCCAGGCAAATCATTTAAATTACATTTTAAATTACATGTCAGTCTTCATCTGCAAAATCTGGGGTGAACCTAAAGCTGGACAGGAAATCAGAGATCACTAAACATTCTGTGATCCTAGGAATACTTAGGAAATATTTCCTCTACACAGTATCAGAATCATTTTTCTCAAATCTGCTACCCTTGGTGGACACTCTCACAGTGCCTTGCACTCAGTTAAAGTTTGATTCGCCAACTGTCTCCTATCTGGTGTGTGTTTATATCACACAGACTCAAAAGAAACCTGATGCCTGCTAGACCTCAGTCCTTCCATGGTGATAAAAACGAATGTAGTTTCCCTATGAACTGAGGACTGATGTCTGTAGGCTTTGCCTAAGTGGAATGTAATTGGTATCCAGGCAAGAATTATTGCTGTGACAACAATGGAGATATGGGAGGATCCACTTTGACATTGATGTGAAAATAAGTTCATATCCTATCCAACATCTGCTTCAGTGTCTTATTAAGGTCCATACCCTCAAAAGGATCTGTTGGAACCAGTTAATCATATTAGATGGAAAGGAAAGAGGTATGGAATTCAAGAACCCAAGTCACTTCTGGTTTAATTCTTAGCCTCTGCTGCTTAATTCCTCTGTACCTCATGTCCTCATTGTGGAAGTGGGGACAATAATCTGGACCTACCTCACAGGTGAATTGAGGTTTTTTTTCATATATTAATGTGCTTTTGAAGTTGACTGAAAGATATACTGGATATCATAATTTTTTTAATTCCTAAATAGATTTCTTTTAATCTATGTTATATTTTTTTTCTCAGTTAGACCCTACAGAATGAATGTTGTAGTTAATCTATGTTTTCAATAGCAAAATTTGTTACCAATCCCCTATGTGTTAAACATAGTAATTGTGTTATTATGTTAATACTTGATTTAGGGAGGAAAAGCAGGTGGATGTAAACCAGTGGTTCCCAACTTGGGGAAGATAAAGACAGCAGTGGGGGCATCATTGAAACTTTTCAACATTTCAAAAAGTATACTAGAAATCATACATTTAACCCACAACCCTGCTGTGCAAACCAACTAAGACATTGCATTTCCATGCATCTTGCCTGTATTTTTTCAATTCTGTCTGTTAACACTGGTTATCACACACTGATCAGAAACTGTAAATGGTGGTTATGTTTTTGATTAATAAAAAAATAAGAAAGCCTATTATTACATGCAATTTAGTAAATAAAATACTTGAAAACATGGGGAAGGAATAATAAAGGGATCTTTATGGTAAAAGTGTTGGGAGCCATTTTTACGAAAGAACTAGGATTATTTGATCCCGTCCACATGTTGCTTACTTAGTCCCTAAATAATGAAATGCTGGATTGTGTGTGTGTGTGTGTGTGTGTGTGTGTCCGTGTGTGTCCGTGTGTTTGGCTAGATTGAGCTATGTAACTTCTGATTAGAATTTGCCTTCAGTTTTTTTCTGTTTCCGGATGACCTAACTAATTTATTGGGGTGTGTATGAGTAATACACACACAGAATTGCAAATGTGGAAAGTTATATCATGTTCTAACACTGGAGTAAAATTTTCCACGTCTCAGAATAGTTCTGTGTATAAACTCAGTATGAAGGCAATAATTTCTCAAATGTTCCTTTTATTCCTGCTTTTTGTTGTTTGCTTGCTTGCTTGCTTTTATCTTGGCTTAATTTTCCATTTTTCTAGTAAACAATCAGTGTAAAATTGTTTTAATGCCTGGACTTTGAAACAAGTTACATATATTTGAAATTATATAATCTACAAGCTAGTTTGACATCCTTGAACTGACCATGCAAATATGAGTCTCGGCTGCAAAAACAGGAAATACGGGTAGCTAGAAAGCAGATGGTGATCAAACTATCTGGTTGAAAAGCCTATGATTTCTACTTTTTGGCAGAGGATTCCTGTTGGGACAGCTTTACCAGAAAAGAATAAAAGTGGACATGTCCACTCAAACCAAGAACTTTCATGCATCTTGTATTCTTACATAGCCTGTGGAATGAATTCCTTTTTCTCCCTTGAGAGTGACTCCCTTGGAAGAACTCAACCTATATACAGCTGTGCCAAAATGAAGGATATCTGCCTCTCTGAAACTTTCACTGCTGCTTCTGTTGTTGTTCACTTGTTAGATATAAAGTTTTATTATCTCAGGATGCAAAATTACAATAAAGTGTAAATCTATGTTAATGAATTAAGTTGTGTGTTGTTTGGTTCATCTTCCCTCCTTCCTTCCCGTCAATATTTTTTCATCTTTATGAGATCATTACTTAAGGCTTCCTTTTAAAAAATGTGTTTGGCACATTGATCCTTCCTGCATTTGCTAATGTTATGTCTGACCATGTAAGTAATTCATGCTGTATGTTAGCTTTGGGGGCCTTTGTTCTGCCCAGTGTTTGGCTAAATAGGAATTTGTTTCTGAAAAACTTTGCATTTGCCCTGCACGCCTGTCTATGAGCTGCAAAATTACAGTCGAGGTGGATTTCACTTTCCTGAGCATAAATTATAGTGCATGAAATATGGAAATCTGAAGCTACTTTAGAAAATTTGAATTTTAAAAGTAGATTGTTTAAGAAGTTCAAGTGTTAACATCAACTGGACTTGTTATTCAAGCTGATTAACATGCAATAATAGGTTTTTTAAAACTTATGCCAAACTTTTGCAAATTCAGCAAAACAGCAAAGTGCAACAGAAAAAGACTGCTCAGTGTTTCCTGGTATTTTGGTAATTGTTAAATATTTCAAAAGGTCTTTAAATTGCATCATTTTTAAGCAGAGATGACACACTTAAACCGACAGACAAGTTTCATAATGTTTTATTCGGAAAATTCTTTTTTGAAATTTTACTATATGGGTGAAGCAAAAATCTACACTGTTCACTGAGAACTTCTTGGACGTAGAAGATGTGCTATGTGGGAAATACTTCTACTTTATGTTTTTATATCAGAGGACAGAAACCACATGCATTTAAAGCTGCCATTAGATAACATTTAACACTTCAATACTCTGCTTACCTAATTGTTAGAAATTCTCTGGGGACTACTACAATTCCCCAGTGATAATTGCCATAAATCTGAGTTGTAATCTGTTCTTTTACCTGAGTGACATGTAGCAAAAATCAGAATATTCTGAGCCTGATTTTATCCATTTCATCCACAAAGTAGAAAGTTTGGTTAGATCAGAGTTGCAAACTCATCTGTAGCCAATCCACAGACAGACGTGTCCTTTTGACCTGCGAGATTTTGTCACATATTTGAATTAGCTACCAGTACTTAAAAGCTAAGACTTCACATAGAAATCCAGATTTCTCACTTCACTTGGAAAACTCCACATTTGAACAATCAGCAAGAGGTGAGTAGCAATCCATCCCTTTTAGGTGGAGCGTTTCTGTTTTGTCATGGTCTTACTATTCCCTCTTGTCCTGAAACTCAGGTTATGTTGTTTTTCTTACAGTACAGTTAAAAAGAAAGCCATTGTGTTGTCAATATTTTACTTTTGTTCTATGAATAGTTGTTTTATGTATTTGGGTGCATCTGCGTTGAGTCTGTAAATATGAATGGCTGTTAGAACGTCCTAATGAATTGTCTGTCCCGTGATCATTATATAGTACCCATCTTTGTCACTAATTACCCTCTTTGGTTTTTTGAAGTCTAATTTTGGTATAAAAAAATAGCAGTTTCTGCTTTTTCTGTGTATCACTGGCTTGAAGTACCTTATCCCAGCCTTTCACTTTAAGTCTGTGTTTGTCTTTAGATCTCTGAGTCTCTTGTATACATGGTAAAGATGGTTCATGCTTATCCACCCAGCCTGTCATTCTGTATCTTTTAATTGGTAAATTCAGACAATTCATGTTTGGGGTGATTATTAATCTATAAGGCTTATTTACTACTATTCTTTGAAGGGGTTTTTTGGTAGATTTATCGTTCTATTGTTTCATATTCCATGTGTTGCTTGCTATATGCCTTTTGGTTGTCGGCTTTCCCTGGTGATTTAGTTTCTTCATTTCTTTTTCTAAGTGTATGCAGTCTTGAGTTTTACTTTGTGGTTACCATGAGGATTATATCAAACCTATTCTAAAATAGTCTTGTGTGTGTGTTGGTAATGATACATCATTTGACTATGCAGTTTCTGTCCCTTCTCCCCTTTAGTGTGTTGTTGTTGTCTCACAGTATTCTTGTTTCTACTTAAGATTTCATATTACTGGGCCTCCCTGGTGGCACAGGCGGTTGAGCACCACACTGTGAAGCTGTCCGCAGCCTCTGCAGCGCGGGTTCGATCCCGGCCCGCCGGCGAGAATCCCACATGGCGCGGCAGACCTCTCCTGTCTCACCCACTGCTCCCCTCAGCAGTGTATTTCAGTCCTCTGCCTGCTCTTCCCCACTTTATCTCTGGTGAATCCTCTCACCCTCCCGCGCATCTGGCCTGTACCCCGGTTCTTGTATAAATAAATAAATCTTTAAAAAAAAGATTTCATAGTATTATTTATCACCTACTGTTTATTTCTTTTTTTAACCTACTGTTTATTTCTCAAGGCTTTCTGTTGTTTTGTTACTTTTCTTGTAGAAGAACACCTTTCGGCCTTTCTTGGGGAGCTCTAGTGTTGGTATATTCCAGCTAGCTTTTGGCTGGCAATTTTTCTCTTTCAAAACTAAATGTCATTCCACTCTCCTAGCCATGCAAGTATCTGCTGAGCATTCTGATTTCTTTATCACTGACTTGATAGTTTAACAATGATATGTATTGGCGTAAGTCATTTTACATTTAGAAAACTGGGTGTTCTTTCAGCTTCCTGGACACCCATGTTTAATTCTTGCCTTAGGTTTGGCAGTTCTCAGATGCTACTTCTTTGAATAGGTTCTCTGTTCCCTTCTCTCTCTACCTTCTGGAAGACCCATTGTCCTTGTTTCCTCTTCTAGTGGAGCCTGATGTTTACAGTCTGTAGAGTTTCTTCATTTCCAAAATCTTATTTCTCTTCTTCCACTTGTGCCATTTGTACATTTCTATCTTCAGTTTCCTAAATCATCTCTTCTGCCAGTTTAAATCTACTTAATATGTTTTCCCTATTTGTTCTCATTTCATTCAGTAGCTCTTTTTGCGTTTTTTAGATATCTTCAAACTCTGTAGTGAAGAACTCTTTTTCTTCCTGGATCTCTTCTGAGATCCTGAACCCACCTCTCTGTATTTGACCTTCTAGGACCTCATTGAGTTTCTTTAAGATTGTAATTCTGGCCTCCGGGTGGCGCAGAGAGTTGAGCTCAGTGCTGTGGAGCTGTCTGCAGCCTCTGCAGCACAGGTTCTATTCCCGGCCGGCCAGGGAGCTACCCACATGGCACAGCAGACCTCTCCTGTCTCACCCGCTGCTCCCCTCAGCAGTGTATTTCGGTCCGTCTGCCTGTTCTGTTCTCCACTCTGTCTCTGGTGAATCCTCTCACCTCCCGCACCTCTGGCCTGTACCCCAGCTCTTGTATAAAAATAAATAAAATCTTTTTAAAAAGGGGGGCCTCCCTGGTGGCACAAGGAGTTAAGACACAACCTATGAAGCTAACTGCAGCCTCTGCAGCATGAGTTCAATCCCTGGCTAGGGAGCAACCAACATGGCGCAGCAGACCTCTCCTCTCTCGCCCACTGCTCCCCTGAGCAGTGTATTTCATTCAGACCGCCTATTCTGTTCCCCGCTCTGTCTCTGGTGAATCCTCTCAACCCCACACCTCTGGCCTGTACCCCCATTCTTGTATGCATAAATAAATAAATCTTTTTTAAAAAAAGATTGTAATTCTGAAATATTTGTTAGCTCCTTGAATCTGTGTCTTTTATATAGGTTCCTGGATTTCTTTTTTTTTTTTTTTTTTTTTTTTTTGGCTTTTCCATTTTGCGTTCAGAGGTTCCTAGGTACGTATGTTCCCTTATTTAACATTTCTGGTTGGGGTGCTGTGGCTTTACTTTTGTTAGCTTATCTGCTTCGTTAAACTTGGTAGCAGGTGATGTAGGCAAGGGATGCTGAAGTCCAAATATTTGACCTCAGTCCTGGTGGTGAAGGACAGTTATTCCAGGTGGAGAGATTTGCATTGCCTCTTCTTGGTCACTGATTCATGGAGCCCTCTCCTCTGCTACTTGCAGTAGGTCTCTTTGATCTCCCAATAGAGCGGGAAGAGGGAGCTCTGCCACCCATGCTTCCACCAGCCAAAGTCTCTAAGACTGAACAAGTAGCCCCAGCAACCGTGTGCATGTATGTCTGCACTGCCCACTCAGTGAACAATTGCCCACGCACAGTCCATGTGCCCACACAGCCTGTGCCAGTCCGCAGCTGTACTGCCCTGACCGCAACTCCCTTCCCATCTCCCTGTCTGCCCCCACAGTGAGCCACCAACCTCAGAGTCAAATATCTCCCCCACTGCCAATGGTGAACTGGTGAAATTTCCTATGAGCCAAATTTAGTTTTTCCTGGTTGTACTTAGGGGAAAGGTTTATCAAAACCAAATACTGTGGGGCCTCCCCGGTGGCACAGCGGTTGAGCACAGCGGTTGAGCCTCTGCAGCACCGGTTCGATCCCCGGCTGCTCCCGGGCCACCGGAGGAGGGTCCCACATGGCGCGCAGACGTCTCCTGCCGCCCGCTGCTCCCCTCAGCAGTGTGCTTCGGTCCTTCTGCCTGCTCTGCTCCCCGCTCTGGCTCTGGTGAATTCTCTTACCCTCCCGCGCTTCTGACTACCCAGTGCTTGTATGTATAAATAAATAAATAAATCTTTAAAAAAAAAAAAAAAAGAAGAAGAAGAAGAAGAAAATACAAGAACTGAAAGTGTGAAGAAAAAAATAAAATCAGGGGCCTCCCTGGTAGCATAAGGGGTTAAGCCCCACACTATGTAGCAGTCCACAGCCTCTGCAGCACGAGTTCGATCCCCGGCCAGCCAGAGAGAAGTCCACATGGCGCGGCAGACCTCTCCTGTCT